TTGCGGGGTTTCGATCAAGGAGACAATTATTCATTGATTTAATTACTGTGAGTTTATCTAATTATTAGTGTCTACCTTACATTAAACGTTACTACTTATTAAATTAGAAGATAGTTCGCCCGGTTCCTCATGGTTGTGTGCGTGTTATGACTATTTCAGTATCCTCTCTCGTTCTCAGTCATATAGGGTGATGGACGTGCCCTAAACGACGAGCATGTGCATATTTTTAAGACAAAGAATATTTTTAAAAAAAAAACTACACCAATTTTGTTACTATAAAATTAAGACATTTTTTACATTTCGGGTGAGCAGGGCCTAAGGTGCCTCCCTAGATCCGCCCATTAACAGAAGTAAAGTACATTTAAGAGTCCTTTGGTAAATACTCTGTAATACTACCCCCGTCCTGCTAGAAGGTTCCCATAGCAAAACGACACAGTTATTTAGGTAATAATTAAATAAAGTAATTCGGGTATATTTTGAGAAATAATTTTAATAGGTATATATTATAATGTGTTAGTATTGATAACTGTGATGTTATAAATGTATAATTTTTAATATTTAATGATTAATTTGTCACTTAAGATTGTTTATTATTTCCTAAAATGGAAATAAGAACCTTCTAATGGGACGCCCAAAAAAGGAAAGTGAAACACTTCTAACTGGACGGAGGGAGTATCAAACCGTAGTAACTTGCTCCTATATAAAGATAAAAGGGGGGAAATTCTCAAATATGCCTGGTCCGGTGTTCATCTTTCGTTTTACTATTTCTGTTTTTTAGTGTCCTCGAATATGCGTGTCTTTGTTGGTGCAACATACTGACATAGCTTTAGACAACAAAACTAGATCAAAATCTAGATTACCAATTAATTGGGTAAAGACGTCATATAATATAATGTAAAATAAGTGATAGTCAGTTACGTTTTTGGGATGTCTCAAAAGATTCTTCTCCTTTTCTTATTTGAAAATTTTTATGTAGCTAACATTCATTTATCATTTTCTTATTCTCGATTTTTTAAATTATGATCCAACAGTATGTAAGCAGGGACGGATCCAGGATTTCTATTCAAGGGGGGCGAAATTTTTCGGTAGTGTAGGGGGTGAAAAAAATTCGTTAGTGTAGTGGGGCGAAATTTTTTCCCTAGTGTAGCGGGGCAAATTTTTTCCGCTACTGTAGGGCTATGCGGCTAATTTTATTCAAAAAATGACATTAATACATACACATCCCCAACGACATTTAAATCTATTAAGTAGTACATTCTAAGTTTAAATTAGACGATGACGAAGACATCAACCAAGACATTTTTAATAACTTCTACATTGTTTAACCTCATGAATCGGTTATTATTGAATTGTAATTTTTGTCCGGCCACCAAGGAGGGTGTTCGTGAGTCATGACTCATGAGAAGTTTTCTTAATATTACAATAGTAGTATGTATGATATTATTATTTTTAGAATAATATGCACCACATACACACACACATATATGGTGCATATTATATTTTAATATTTGTATTAATGCTATAATAATTTAAAGTTTATTATCTATGCAATAAATTATTTTTAGAAAGCAAGAAGTAAATGAATTATGTAATTTAATGTCAATAAACATTTATATTTTGGATTCATTTCACGTGATCTAAAAACTGTGTAATTAGTGTGTCTGATATTTAATATTGTTTGATATACGGAGTATATTTTACAAAATCAAGTACTTGTTATCTACTAAAGATAATTAAACACTACATAACTAGGAATTCTTATATAATAAGTATACTAAATCTTAAACAACGCGTTATTCTATTGTTTATTTGTTTAAGTTATGTAATTATTTTAGATGTTCCTTTTTTAAAATCTTCAATTAAGTATTACATTATGTAACACTATATATTAATTTTGAAAATTAAAAGATAAGGGGGGCGAATCTAATTAAATTATGAAAGTTTTATGAAAATATTACATATATGGTAGAAAATTTTAAAAGTCCAAGGGGGGCGGTCGCCCCCCCGCGCCCCCCCCCTAAATCCATCCCTGTATGTAAGCCTTCTATACCACTACCTCTTATGTAATGAGAAAATAACTTTATCGAGATCTAGCATATAATTAAGTTCATAATGTTCCACAAGTTCCGGAACTTACCAGTAAAGTTATATTTCTATTAGATCAGCTTTTTTTTTACTTTGCATGCTTTTAGAGTATGTTTGGTAGTTGGATTTTGAAGAGGGACCGAAAAGGTTGGGAAGGTTTTATGACCATTTTTGTTTGCGATTTTAAGAAATTGTAGGGGAAGATTTTGGAGTGCTTTTGTAACTTGAAATGCTCGATTTTAAGTTTGCAATTTGAAGGTGTTTGAAGGATATTATAGGGAAATTGTCATAAAATCCTAAATAGGAATAAATGAAGTTTGTAATTCCAAAATAGGACTATTTTCTTTTCGAAATAGGAGTTGTTACTCCCATTATTGAAAAATATTGTCATTATTGAAAAATAATGCCATTAATTATTAATTATAATAAATACTGTCATTTTACATGCAACGTACTGTAAGTCTGTAACTATTTGGCAGTCACGCCTACAAGATGACGGTAAATAAAAACTATTTGACAATCACATTTCGAGAATAAAAACATAGTAGTCATATTTTGAAATTCCAAATTCTATTCATTCACTCCTATTTCGGAAAAACTGCCCAAATTATATGATAATTTTAGCTCAATTTAAAATGAGTGCAACTCTGCAAGTTCAAGGACTTGAATTCAAAATATATCCCAAGTGATTTTTTATAAGTATCTAATCTAGAGATGAACTGGGACGGGTCAACCCAACTAGGGGTGTGCACCGGTCCAAAACCGGACCGGACCGGACCGGAACCGGTTAGGACCGGAACCGGAATCATCATTTTCTATGGACCGAAGACCGGACCTGAATCTAACCGGTCCGGACCGGTCCGGACCTGAATTTTCCGGTCCGGTCCGGGTTTGACCCTAATTGACCCGGTTTTAAAAAAAGATATACGGAGTATTATCTTAGAGTGTTCTTTGCTGACCCCAAATTTTTTAGGAATAAGACTTGGATGTTGTTGTTTCAAACTATAATTTTATATGCGGATATGCTAAATAGACTAAATAATTGTTTAGCTCATTTATTAATTTTGGAATATAGTCATCAAAACTATTCAATCGTAACAATTAGTATCCCACAATAATTAAAACTACAATCTTTTGTGTATTAAATTGGTAAAATTTATTGTGGGGTAATAAAAACTAAATTACGTCCAAAAATATACTACATATAAAATACATACACACCTGCAAATAAAGAAACAAATAAAAAGTGATTTGGAAAAATCAAACAAATATAAAGTACGATCAATAAAAACTTAGGACATGCTACATAAAAAAAATTATAAACAACTTAGGAAATAATTAGACACCAAATACACACTCCGTATATATTCGTTTATATAACAAAAGGCAAAAATAAGTCATAAACATAGTAGTAAGCCAAATATAAATTGACTAATGATTCAAAACGAAGTATATATTTTATGGAACAATAGGTTACCGGTCTATTCCGGTCCGGACCTGTTTTTTCCGGGTTTGACCCGGACCGGACCGGAAACCCGGAATCTTGAAAAACTAAGGACCGAAACCCGGACCGGTATTTACCGGTCCGGTCTGGACCGGGTCATTCCGGTCCGGTTCAGGTCTAAAATACGGTCCGACCCGGTTAATGCACAGCCCTAAACCCAACCCGATCCCGGCACTGTTTAGACCCGACCCAACCCTCTTTAGGCTTGGAGTCCGGCCCGGTGGCTATAAGGGTGGGATTCAGGCTCGTTTTTTAGGCCCGGCCCGGCTAGTCTTGGACCCGGTTCGGGTCGCCCTGCCCGTGGACCGGCTCGCCCCGCTACTGTGCGGGACCGGCCCGGGTCTCGGGTCCGGGCTCGGGTCTTATATTTGGCGAACCGGCCCGGCCAGGTCGGGCCCGGGCCGAATTGATTGTTTTTTTTTTCATTTTTGGGGTTCCACTCGGGTTGAGCTTGATGGGTAGGACGGGTTTGGGGGGGTTAGGAAAGCAAATATATATATATAACCAAACCGGAGGCCCGGGCCGGTCCCGGGCCTTCCCCTAAAAGAAGCCCGACTGGGCCCGACCCGGGTAGGGATAGACTCGGGTCGGGCGGCCCGCCCCAGAACCGGCCCGGACCGGACACTGTTTGAACCGGCAAGGCCCGGGAACCGGGCCCTAGGGCGGTTCGGGTCGACCCGGCCCGCTAGTCATACGGTTCGGGCTCGGGCCCTAGGAATGGTGAACCGGCCCGGCCAGTTCGGGCCCGGTCTGGGCCAAATTTATTTTTATTTTATTTTTTTGAATTTTTTTTAATTTTTTGGGTTGGGCTGGGTATTTTGGGTCATTTGAGGTGGTTTGGGGTGGTTTGGGGGTGAGGGGGGGGGGGGGAGTTGGGAGTTAATTAGGAGAAGCCAAAAAAAAATTAGATTGGACTGAGGCCCGACCCGAACCAGACCAGGGGGTTACCCGGGCCGGTTCCGGGCCTCCCATATCTAAACCGTGAACCGGCCCGAGGCCATCCCTGGGCCCGGGTCCATGACTAGACCCGGCCATGCCTGTACCGGGCCCAATTGCACTATTTTTTAAATTTATTGCCCTAGGCCGTCCCGGCCCGGCCCGGACGCCCGGTCCCAACGCGGTACTGTTTAGGCCCAGTCCTGGTACAAACCAAGAAGGTACCGGACCTGAAATTTTTAGTGGCGGTCCCACTCAGACACTCAGTTCTGGCCCGAAGCCCGCCCGGGCCATCCCTAATCTAGCCCCTCTCTTTTGGAATTTATAACTCCTAAACAAAAACAACAGTTTCTTTCCCAAACAAAATCGACAAAATATTTCCCCTTTCCCCTCCCTGAGAGGCCGAGACGTACCCGGTACACACAATAAAAATAAAAGATACAAATCAAATATTGAAATAAATGTGTATATGTGTGGTACATATAATAATGATATAGACCACATGCGAAGATCGTTAGAATTGCATCCAAAAAGGGGGGCAGAGTGCTGATTAAAGAGATACTAATCATTCTGTACATTTGTACACAATGTTCCTCTCTCAACTCCCTACAGGTGACTTTAGAGAGTAATCACTTATCACCTCATTAGTTAAAATATACTCGTAATATAAATTATATAATGCTACACGGGAACAAAAAACCGGCAACTTCTTCAGTCCTGCTATGACCCTTACATACAATCAAGTCTATACAACTCGTACCCATGTCCCGCCACACATGGGGCACCCATATGCCCAACGGCTAATCCACCATATTTCCTTCTCGCTCAGATTTGCAGGAGTGGCCCCCGGTGGCGTGAAGGCACATGTCTGTCTCAAACATCTTATGCACTGCATAAACAACAAAAGCCATCATTAGCATGAAATATAAGCAATGCCGGTATTCTAGCAGTGACTCTGTTGAACAGAGTGAGTGAAGGCCAGTTTATTAGCTAGGTAGTTCCAACCATATTGGTCCCAGTCAGTATATTAGCTAGATTTTTCAAGTCCTGAATAAATAATACTCCTTTTGTTCACTTTTACACGTCCCAATATGTATTCCACAAAGCTAAGAGCAGACTTATAGGGCAAGTTAATAATGTAGAAAACGTGAAAGTTTATGACTGAAATATGAAAAAAAACTAGGAAAGACAAGGTGAAAAGTAGATTTTGGCATAACAAATAAGACAAATAATGGGCGTTTATCAGAATAAGTGGCATTAAACAGACAAGGAAAGTGAGATAAGATTTAAATGCAAAAGGCTCTAACCAACTCAAGTACTTGTGGCAATACCTTGTACCAGACACCATCAAGCCCTGTCTTCCATATGGCAGTCACAACATCCCTGCGAGAGCCCATTATACCAAGATATGCACCGAGGCCCACTGAAGTGTTTAACCCAAAAGCTGCATCCCTTTCCGACATTCTACGCTTCCTTGGCCATAAACGATTGCTTCCACCATAGTGAAGAACATCGCAGTGTTCTTCTGATAGGCTACACTCAAATTTCTCTATAGATGGGCTATGTGTAAGGTCATCATCCACTGAAGAATCATTATCATCTTGTGCATCAGACCAGGGTCCACTGTGCACATTCTTCCTGTGCCACTCTTCTGCAGGAGGATGGAGTTCTAACTCACGAAGTAGCAAGCCTGCTGCGTCAGCACCTCTAGGCCGTGGCATGTTCTGCTAGAATATTTGTGAACAAATAAAATTATTTCTTTCAAAAACTTAATATGGCGTAAATAAAAAATTGGTTCACAAAGTAAATTCCCATACAGTATATGGTTGGGAGTTAGATTTTGGAGGGAGAACTTCATTTTAAATAAATAGTACTTTGATGCGATGATATTTTCAAATAAAAGATATAAATGATAAATCAGTACAGTTTCAAAATTTTATACTTTGACTCAATTTTTTAGCCACAAGTCACATATGGAGTGTAATTTTTTAGTTTGAAAAAATCCTCTCTTAACCCTCCAAAATCTAACTAACAACATATCCTTAAGGCCGGTTAGATGGAAGGGTTTTAGAACGAAACAATCTTTATGTGTGTGCACATGTACATACGTAAATGTGTTTGTAACTTTTGAGATATTATAAACACTAAAGGAATAAAATATCAGGTAATCATATAACACTTCAACCAGCTTCTATTCGTATTGGATGGGAAGGCTTCAAGTATGTTATTCCCATATATACAGTGATGGGAGGTGAAAAAATGTTTGAGCCTGAAGAGTAGCTATCATAAATTAACAACTCAAGTATCAAGCACAAATTCTTATTAGAATTCTTTGAAGCCCAAAGGAGTCAAGGACAAGATAGTAGGATACATCAATCCTGTGCGGCAAGGAGGAACATAAGAGAAATACCTGCATATGTGGTCCAAGGGAAGCTTCTACAACTTCTGGCAAAACAGTATAGTTACCATCTATGTAATGAAGCCGGATCTGTATATTGCTGCTCCCGACCTGAGAAACTGGCAATGGATGTGCTAGGCTTGCTGTCCGGCGGCAAAGATCCATTAATATAAGAAATAGTACCTTCACCTGCATTTGATTATATTTATAAAAAACATCAATGACATCCTGGCCTAGAGGATGAGAGAGGGGCAGTAAATATAATATCTTGATATTGATTTGACATCTTATCAATTGAAAGGAAAAAATAATATGTGATCTATCTATCAATAGGCAAGAACAAAGTGTTATTGACTACTCTAGCATTTCATTCACCTTTTTATTCGTCTTAGAAATCGTCTATACATTGATATAACTCCAAATTATTTTAAATATAGAACCTAGCATTTCGGGACAAAACAAATAAAGCACCTCATCGTATGTGTATCCTTGTCCAGCATTTCCAGAACCAATCCTGGACCGGTTAGATAGAACATCATCAGATCCCTTCCCACCTGAGCCAAGCTGACCATTTAATGTAGGTTTGGCAGCAGAGTTGGCTTCTTCTAGTTTTGCAAGAGTAATAGGCTGCTGAGGTTTTTGCATCGAAGAATCAGTATTCCTCTGAGTTGCCCCAATATAGCGTGGCAATTGTGTCCGGCGATAGAAGAAGCAGAAATGCAAAAGCTGACATAGTCGGTGGAGAAAATGACAATCCCCAATGAGTCTAACAGCTGGAGTTCCAGGGAAAGTGCCAGTATTTATACTAATCGGCATAAGAGTTGATGGACCACTTATTGGGTTTGGGGCGGAACTTGTGGCACTCTCTGCACTGCCACTAATCTTTGCTATGGCTCCCTGTACCCATGCATGCATCTGTGTGCTTCCCGTAGAGCTTGCAGAACCACCACCCTGAGTCCCTTGAAAAGCAGATCATTGGAAAAATATAGCAAGTTAAATACAATTTGACAGAATGCAAGGGAGTCTGGCAATGCCCCTCATGAACCACATGAGAGACAGTCAGAGGGCCGGTCTTCAATTTATGAGGAAACCTTTTGAGAAAAATGCTCCTGTCACAAAAAGTCATTTTAGGTCAAGTAACAGTTTTTAGTGTTGGCATAGCACCACCCTTAAAGTCACCAAGTCCTAATCATATTTTTTGGATTTATTTGCTGGAATGCTGGTTTTAACCATGAGCCCGTTTTGTAGGCTTTAGTTTGTGCTGTCAGCCAGATAACACAGTTTTTTTACCAAACACCGATTGTTGTCACTGACATGCTGAATTGGCTGATATGGAAACAAAAGTAATATAGGAATTGCTTTACTTACTGAAATGGATGAATGACTGTTTTTTTATTATTATTTTGTTTATAATATTTAACATAATAAAAAAATATGTTGATAATTTAGCCAATCAGCCAACAATTTAGGAAGTGTTTGCCATTGCTTTTACTTTAAAAAGTGATTTTTAAGTAATTTTAGAGAGTGATTATTAGTAAAAGTTGATAGGGTTTTAGAATAAAATTGCTTTTGATATAAGAGTTAAAATTGGAGTGTTTGGTAAAAAAAGTGATTTTGGTGTTATATTTGGTCAAAATATGAAAATGCCCTTGATATGTTCTGATAAAGATCTGGACTTGTGGGCTTAATATTTTAATAAAATGTAATAGTGGGCTGGGCCAAGTAATTAGATAGATTGAGGGAAACCTAATTTGAAAAAGAATAAATAGAAGGAATAGAAGGGAGAGAGAGGGTAGGCCTCTCGAAGAGTTTCATCTGGATTTAGGCTGGGAGAGTGAGGCCTCTCGAAGAGTCTCAAACCTTGATTTTCAGTTTACGTTGATTTCTCGTTTGTCCATTGTAATAAGTTACTGCTTTCTAAGATTTTCATCAATATAAGACTGATTTTCATGTGTGTGTGTGTGTGCGCACGCGCAATGCGTGTGTATGTGAGTGTGTGTATGTGTATACATACATATATACTACCTCCGTCCCTTTTTATTTAGGCATCTTTGACTTTTACAGTCAAAGGTGGTAAACTTTGATCCATTATTTTAACTAACATATTTATTTGAAACTTAATAAATTTATACTTTTATGATAGTATTTTAAACAAAGAATATTTTCATATAATTTTCATATTTTCAATATTACCGTGTACAAATATATAATCGGTCAAAGTTGAACAAATTTGACTTGAAAAAAGGTGTTTGGCCAAATAAAAAGGAACGGAGGGGGTATATAATATACTCAGTATATGCTTGCAGTGGAACCAAAAAATATGGTTGCAGGGGAATCATGAATGAGGAACTTGTTGATAAGGCTACTTTGGAATTTGTTGATAAAATTTGTCCTCATAACAAACCTTAAAGTTTGTGTTTATTTACAATAATACCTAGAAGTAGCTAGAAGCACTAACCTACCAGCTTCCAGCTTTTATCTTTAAAGTGCTTAATTAAAGCAGAAGTAGGTCTTTGAAAACACTCTTTTCAGCTTTTTTTAAGAAAAAAGCACTTCATCCATTTTAGACCTTATCAAACATGCTCTAGATTTATCATATATAACTTGTTTGTTTGCAACTCTCTTTGTAATTTACACGCTTCAACCATTTTAAATGGGACACTCCCTTCTTGCACATTATCATACTCCGTATATAACTTGTTTGTAACTCTTTTTTGGCAAATCACATGAAAAATTAGCTCTGATCAAATGGGACTCTTTTTTGTCAACCAAAGCAACTTTTGGGACAAGACACTTTTTGAAACAAAGTGGGTCTAAACTTAGATACTATCGTATTAAGGACAAGTACTGACCCTGAGATGTTGCAGGAGAAGCAGAACTTTGGATAGGATTGCTCACCAAATTCCGACTCCCACCAGTGCCTGCAGTCACAGCATGACTAGCTAACGTGCGACAGAAGCTTGCGTAACGCCGCAAACGTGTGATGAAATGAGAAGCTAGATCAAGTATGGCATCAACATAAGCCTACATTAAATTGAACAGACAATTACAGCTCAATTCAAGTAACTGAAAGCTCTTTAATGAAGGGAGGGGGGGGAGGGGGTAATAACAAAGAGAAAAGCATCTAAACTTTGTGTGTGAATGAATGAATATTATATGACACACCTGTATGCTTGGAACAAAAGCTGGATCAACAGACATTGCTTCAGTATCAATACCAAATAGTGTATCACTGGACGCTTGCCATGGTTCTGGGACCAAAGCTGATGGATTCATTAAAGCTGATTCGATTCCTTTGCCAAGCATATCCAATAGCAATCTTGCTTGCATGTCAAGAACCATAGCCCTGACTTCTTGAGCATTTGTACCTTCTAGTAGCCTACACTTTATCCTGTCTAGGCTCTGAATTGTTCAAAGATTACAAAGTCAGACACTATATATTGAGAATATATTAACATCTATTTAGTGTAAACAATTATGTTTGTGTTTGATTTAATCGAAAATATAAATCTTAGACTAAATAATTTCAGTGAAATATTAAAATTACATTTTTATTCATATAAAATAGATCTAAGGATAGATATCGAGCAAATCAAATTTCATAAGGAGCTCACACTATTGAAATATAGTTCCTCCATCCCAATTATACTCCCCCCATTTAATTTTTACAGAGATTTTTAGACAGTGAAATATATAGATTCATTAAATCAACACAGAGCCAATGAAAATGCCATGATGAATTGATGAAATTGACAGTTGCTTCAAAATTTAGTTTATGGAAATGAAAGCATAAAAACATACAGGCCCATATTGCTGCCGATGGTATGTAGATGGAAGAGAGTGAAAATCTGCATCCAGCACTGCAATGACACTGTTCAGTGAAACTGAAACAGAAGGAAACTTAATTAGGATGGGTAATTAAGTTATGGAAGTGAATAATCCGCTTGAAAAGCACAAAAAATACACAGTTGGAGATGTATGATGGTTTTACTCGTGTTCTTAACGTACCCCAATAGTTATGAGAATACAAAAAATAAAACCATACATGCATGCAACAAGGAAGCACGGGGCCGCTATTCCCCTGCACCAAGCCAGCCACACTGGAATAGCTGAAGGGACGGTAGCGCTGATGGCAATGGTAAATTAATGGTCCCAGCCTGTTTTAGAAACGGAATGCACCTCTTTCTATTTTAGGGACGGAAACTACGCAATTGGGATTAGATGGGGTTAAGGTAGGGGACTTGACCCGTGTCTCGCTTATTTTAAAGCCCAACTGCAAAACTACTTCTCCCCCTTGGGATGCGGGACCAGTTCTCCATTAGCTGCAGAACTGCTCATCACTTTTTCATCGGCGTTCATAGTTGTCATTGCTCGCTGAGTTTTCATGGCAAGTCAGGCATTTGCCTTTCCACACATGCCAGCTTCCCACTGATAATTGAGTCCTTTCTGTTCTCTAGAGGTGGCCCTGGAGTTCCTGCTGCTCAGCCCAATTCCCATCATTCTAGTGAAGGCTTGAAGCATGATGCTGTGAAGGTAACTACACCGATTGCAACATGTTTTACTGTTCTTTTGGGGAGATATATATTGCGTGTGTTCTGAAATATATTGCAGAATTGAAGTTCTGCAAACCTAGTCTAATTCAGTCAAACGAAAAAAATGACTGATTGAATGAGAAGCTGTCCAATTGGTGAAATCTATGCCAATTGCATAATATTAGCATGTTTACAAATTATGCTGACAATTTAAGTTGGAAAAACTATCAAATAAGCTAGCCCTCCTCATATGTACAAAAACAATAAAACCCTCGTTCTAAAACAACACCCAATTTAAATTAATTCTATGAACTTATTAAATGCACCCAAATTGTCATTTTAGCAGGTTGTTTCTAGGTGTCAGGTAACCACCGCCACATCATTGTCCAGCAAAGCCACATCACCACCAGATCATTTTACACCTTGCTAAGTCAGTGTCCTCTTAAGAAGATAAGAACGAATAAACCAAAAGGACACAAGAAAAGCACTTTCCGTAAACCAAAGCTGGTGGCCTCCTCTAACCGGTTAGCCGACACTTTTCCTAATTCCCAAAAATCAGTTGACTATTCTTCTCCATTTATTAAATTTCATTTTATTTTTAGCAAAAATGTTTCATCCCTCTCTTGCAATACCCCGATTGAATGAACCATTTGAAGCCATTGATGGCCCCCCGGAAATTCAAGATACGAGAAAGAATCATGTAAGAACATGTAGGAGAGGAAAATTGGGGTACTTCTGAGGCTGAGCTCAACACTCATTCGCAGCGAGAAGGGGACCAGAACTGGTCTCATACAGAGGCGCACTGGTGCAACTTTGTTTTCCAATAAAGATGCATTGCCGAGCCAATCCTTCTGCTTGAAGGAGAGGTATGACAGAAAAGCCTGTAATCCAAACAAGCGCAGGAGGGGAAGAAGACAAATTTGAGCCTGGTACACATCTCCTCTGTCTACATGTGGTCTGAAACCTACAACCTGTGTCGCCGCCTCACGTCCTCCATATCCTCCAACCTTGGTCCCAGAAGTGAGCATGTCGTCTCCGTCGCATCTAGTGGCTTGCGTAATCCTTATCCGAGATGACTCTCTGAGTATGGTTTTGTTCACTTCTTTCTTATTAAGGAGTTGAAACTGGAAAGAAGAACAAAGAGACGAGCCTTCCAGTCTGGTCGTAAATGGACTGTGTGAACAGGGATAGGGAGAGGCGCAAGATCATATCCAGACTGAATGATCAGATATTTTGTTGAAGAAATTATACATTTGTGCCACATTTGTAGCCATGTATCCATTTAACCCACTAAGCTGTTGTTTACCAGCTGAAATTCAATTTGAGTGTGTTCTAAAAGTTGAGATGCTTGATCGGGTGATATTTAGCTACAAGGGCCTAATTGCTATTTTGGTGATAGTAGGAGGTCTATTTGAAATTTTCAAATATCTGTCTTTCATCCCCCCAGTGTAGTTCCTATCCTAATTCAACTTAGGCATGCAGTATGTCACAACTCACAAGTCAAGTAGTTACATTGAAGGATGGCTAAATACAACTAGATACAAAAATGTGCAACTCATTCACCTTGTACTGCGCGTTAAACATATTATATCATCATAAAAATGAAGTTACATATTCACCACAGTTACTGATTTCTTAAAAGGCCATAATCATTAAGTAATACTTGTTGTTAGAAGCAATCATGCAAGATGTTGGGAACTGGCCCTCTGGAGCAGAACAACCCCGAGGAGTATAAATAAAAAAAAAGACATTGATGTAACTCATGCAGTCTTACCAATGCCATCTTCCGCAGCACTTTGGGTACACCCAACGGCATCCCACCAATCAACTCCCACTAAAAGACTCCACCAAAACCTATCAAATGATGTGGATCATTTATCTATTTAATAGGTAGTAACACTAATTTAATATAACTAAAAATGACTCATCAATATACATCCTATACTGCACACAATTAAAAACTAAATGTGGGCTATAGATACAGCTCCAGTATACCTCTCTGCAACTGCACGTTCCCATGTAGCAGAGTTAGCTTTCACCTGACTACTTGGAACAGCGGGTGGAAGAACCCGAACTATCTTCAAGATGGAACAATCTTTGCTAGGGTCATGCCAAACAGAAGCAGAGCAGCAACTTGTTGAAGAGAATGCAGGAGCAGCAATTGCAGGCCCAACATTAATATGGTAGCTACCAATAGGGGTGAAACTTGGACCTGAGAAAACATGAACCCCACCACATAAAAAAGCAACTGCAATTTCACCTCCATGAGCAGAATAAACAATCCGAGCAAGGGTTCTAACATCACTTGGAAGATCAAAAGGATCAAATGTGACCCTCTTCGTCATCTCAATAGCATGGTCAGAAGCAGTTTGCATATCAGGTGTAGATATACCTCCAGCTGCTCGGGGACTTTTAAATTCAGTAGATGCAGGGATACATTTAATTACCTTACTCACCCAAACTGTCTGTTTAGGGGCTTGCCCACCAATACTTGACGTCGGATTACCAAATATTTGATGAAGAACAACATCCTCCACAGAAGATTCCCAACGTTGAACTCTCCATCCTGTGACTGAAGGGCCTTCATCTGGATCATATGGGGACATGTATTGTCCTGAGTAAATAAAAAAGAGATCAATATTATTTACAGATATAAGACTAATACCTTGCTTTAGATGTTAGCAATATGTCACATCACAGTTTCACTAAAACACTGAAATTTTAAAGTTGAAGAATATGTAGAAATGGATAACTAAACATCCAACAGGACAAAAGTATATCACTAATTAAACCAGTATGCTAGTCAGACTTTCAGTCTTTCATCACAAAAGGCATCACATACAAGGAAATGGGAGAGAGAAATGAAATAGGTAGCTCGCACATAAACACATTGGCCAAAAAATGAATACTCATAAAGCATCTAATCACACATCTCATAAAGCATCTAATCACTCCTTTAGATGCTTTATGGCCAGGGCCTATTCAGTAATTTAATAAGGTATACAATAGGAGAAACAAGGAGCTTATTAATAAGTAACTAGCTGATCAGTAGCCTTTCTAATCCCTACGTGGATATTTACTATAAATAGAAGGGGGGCATAACTAAATAAGGCAGGCTGTTGTTCAGTTGGCTGTGGCTTGGAGAGTGGGCTTCTCCAACAGTCCCATTGATTGTACACCTACGTTGATCTCTTCCTACTCAATAATATTTTGTCTCTATCTGTTCTTACTTGATTTCAGTAGAGATTATTACTAATTTACTTAGATTACTACCAGTACTCTATCACTTACAACCAGCTTTCACTACAAACTATTCACCATCTTTGTCCCTCAGATGTGGTGATCGCACAGTTCACACTAATGGCAGTCAAGGAGTTCATCTAAATGACAGTCATGATTCCTAATATGCAAAACATGTATTCATAACTTGCACATTGTTTTTCTTAATAACGTGCAAAATCACTAGTTTCTTTAGAAAGACAATAGAAAGTCATCTATATCTTTAATCTATAAGATGCCAAACATACCCTCAACTATCACAACAGCAATCACATCGCCACCACGAGTGGGATCAAATGCAACAGCAGTGACACCAGAACCCCATGTAGTGGTAGCAGCTGGCTGAGCTGCAGCCTCAGGACTCACGTATGCAGAAAAGTTGGAAACTGGTGAACAATGAAGAACTACTGTGTCATTATAGTCTAACTCTGTATGTTTTTTACCCTGTTTTACTTCTTGAAATAAAAACTCTTGCCAACTAAACAAATAAGCAGCAAGAGGAGCAAAGCCGTCCCAGGTAGGAGGATTAAGTGATCGTGGAACTCCATTGCTCAGACTTGCCTTCTGAGTTGCTTGAAATTCATTTCCAGGGCCTGGCATAACCTCCCAAACCACTACTGTAGATGGATTCACAATTGGGACACCCGCCACGTGTAAGGCTCCAGAATCTGTTACAATAGCATCTGCAGCCATAATTCCACTGGGTCCAACTCCCAAGAGCCCTTTGCTTGTGCAAAACCACTTTGGCTGACCAGTCTGATCAAGTGGCCATTGGGACCAATGCAGCTGAACTGATCCTGATATGAAGACGGAGCATACACATAGGAAATTTGGCCATCCAGCTGCACCGAAACAAACAACATCTATTGATTAATAGGCAGGGGTGAGCATGGAACGGTACGGGACGGTTATTTCAAAAAACCTGTCCCGTCCCAAAGTACGGTTCTTTTAAAAATCAAGAACCGATACCGTCCCGCACATATATGGAACCTGTCCCGTTCCGTACCAATTTTCAGCACGGTTCGGTACGATTCAGTACGGTTCTTCGGTGTTATTTGGTTCGCAAATAATTAACCTCCATGAAATATAATTAACCCTATTTACATAGCATTGTTTATATCATTTAGTATTGTTTTTGTTTTAAAGCTAACTTTTAGTGCTGTCAAGTCTTAATAATTGGATTACGCCCAAAGAATATGCAACATTGCATATTTGTAATATATGGACATACGATTCCTGACACTTATACTTGATAATATGTTATATAGAATATACGTAGTATTATTATATTATAAAACTAGTTTTTGGGACATATGGTCACTAACATTTATACTCGGGTAATATATTATGTATAATATATTATTATAATCTAACACTTGTTTTCGGGACAATTCGGGACGGTACGGGACGGTTCAGGACAATACGGTTCTGGGACGGTTCCAGAACGGTTCTCACTAAGAACCGGTACCGTACCATATTATTAAAAAAGCTCGGTACGGTACGGTACGGTTTTACATTTTTCCGGTTCTATCAGTTCTGGAACGGTTCGGGACGGTTCTTCGGTACGGAACGGGAATTCCCAGATCCGTGCTCAGCCCTATTAATAGGTCTTTGTATATAAAGTAAATAAAAGGGGAGGTGATCACAAAAATGGCATATGAAAATATTATAGCAATGCCTCTGACAAGACGAATCTATCACCACACACGGTAAAAGCAGGGGCGTGTCCAGGGTGGGGGCAGGGGGGTAGCTGCCCCCACTCAACCCCACCCAACTCCTATACACACACACACACATATACATGTGTGTGTGTATTCAAATTAAAATTATATGTATATATTTGCGTGTTTAATATAGAGATATTATATATTAAGTACGAGTATTATGACAACTAGCGTTTCTGGTAGAGTGGAAAGAGTGACGCACGAATCAATAGTGCTTCCCAAAGGTCAAAGGTTCAAGGCTCCGCTGCAGCTTTTGTAATGTGTTTTTGTTTTTTCCCTTTTGAAGGTTTAAGCCAATTCAAAGTGACTTTACTTAATTGTTTTTACTTTTTTACTTAATGAAAAGATCTAAACTACATCAATATCATTACAATTTTAATTTCACATATGATTCATGAACTTTAACAATTGCATCTTTGTATATAATATAAACTGGTCTTTTAATATACTTGTTAATTTACCATTTAAATTAATTCTTCTAAGTATATGCTGGATCATTCCCTTAGTTGATTCATTTATTTATTGACATAATTTTGTACAAATTACAACGCCATGTGAAAAAATTATTTCTCACAAAGTGAAATTTAATTAAACATGATATCATAATGTTTTTGTCAAGAGAATATATTGCTAATTATAACTGATTTTACAATTTGATTCTTAATCTGATTAGTCTGATTTTTCTAGTGATTTTTTTCTTAATCTAAGTTGAGTTCGCCCCCTCTAACGTATCAGTCACACCCACAAAAATCAAGGTATGGAGCTAGTTAGAATAATAGAACTTGCATGTTTGAGAAAAGTAATTAACAAGCACTAAAAAGATTATTGTCTCAAATAAAAGCACAAAGTAGGTAACCAACAAAGCAATCCCAGATACAAATGCCCCCAACCAAGAATCCAAAAGAAAAACACTGTCGTATAAGGAAAGTGAGAGAAACTTGTGTGCATAAATGGAATAACAAGTTTTATCTTAGCGCTGATAAAACAGATGTTAGTCAATTTACTGATTGTATTAAAAAAGTCTTCCCTTACAGATACATTTTTGTTCTAACCAGAAGAAGCACGAACTGAACCAGATAAATTATAGCACTACCAATATGTTGCAAGTATTGAAAGGGAGGTGTCATTCCATATATTAATTGAAAAGAAGAGAAAATTTTGCATTAAGTATTGAAATAAAAAGAGGGAATATTGAAACAAAATAAATAAACAAATGGGACAATTTCAATTGAGACATGGCCCATCAATTTTCATACTGACCAACCACGGAAAACAAACAGTGGATACCAGATAGAAATTTGATACCTATGTAAAAGAACTAAAGAGGAAGTAACCTAAAGCACATGTCTGACCACAAATTTCTAGCAAAAAACACAGAAATTAACCTGGAGGCTGTGGTTGATGAGAAAGGAATTTCTCCTCAAATATTGACTTTGTGGCACCACCGGACCTTGACGAAAGCCACCTGTACTACTTTTATGCAAAACAAAATAGAAAACATATTATACATGAAAAATAAAATATGCGATCAAAAGCAATATGTGGTCTATAATTGCCTACCGGAGATACACCTGATAACCACTTAGTTACAACTGCAATATCCTGCCGCCATTCATATTCTTTCTGCCAACAGCTAGCATCTCTTACCAAATTAGCTGGACCCTGAGTGACCAAATTAAATGGAAAAAATTGTAGGCAAGAGAATAAAAATAAAACAGTATTTAAATATAAGGAGTTAAAACTAAGAAGTAGAAGATCTAGAAGCCCTGCTTGAACAGTGATTCTCATTTAAGCTACAAGTGCAACAGAGAATAAAATACAAGGTTAACTCCACTAAAGCTGGCATACTTGAGAAGGTTGGGTCCAGATGGATATTCTTCCATGGAAATTAGCAATGAGAAGAGCGCGAGGACATGCTGTAGGAGACCATTCGATAAATTGAACCGAGTCACGAGGTGAATCTGAGGAAAATTCAAGGAAACACATCATGAGTTCATGACATCAAATAAAATTGCATAGTAAGGTAACAACTATGATACTACAAGTCTGCAGCAGAGGCATGAAAATATTTTAAGACAGTGTAACTGATTATCACTTCAAAGTTTCAATGACAGTCCATGCTCACGAATTATTTAAGACAATTGTAAAATCTGCAATAAAACTAATTAATCTAGCCGCCAATGAATTGGAAGGCACAAACAGTTTCAATGCAAAAAGAACTGCCATTGTGTCTTGATTAATCAATCAGGTATTTAAAATTGGTTTGAGGAACAAGCAACATGTCTAGACTCTAGATGAAAGCACTTGGCAATTTCATGGTGCTCATTTTCCAAGCTGGTTGCTCGGCGAAAGTTGTTATGGAATTCCAGGTTTTAGGCCTTTATCACAAGGAAAGTGCTTTTCATATAATACTTTTAGGTTAACAATCAAGACTGGATCAAGCAATATTTTATCATCAAACCAAGGATCAGATGCATCTTTAAGCACAATATTCTCATTACCACACAATTCTTTAGGTAGTGACACATCCAGGCCACATAATGTAACTAAAAAGTTTATTACCTGCTATAACATTAAAAACGGTGCATTCTGTTGGACGCTCTGGTATTACAATGTGAATCGGGATCCAAAACGGTGGATTTGCATTTGAACTGTCCCGGAACCAAAAATATAAATTAATAGATAGATAAATAAACGGAAATTGTCCTAAATAGGACTAATGAGTTCCTAAAAAGCACAAATAGGACTACTACTTTTAAAATTCCCTAAATAGGACTAAACATTGAATTTCTACCCTAAATACCCCTAAGAGTATTAATTCATAATGAAATGCTTTAATTCATAATAAAATCATAAAAAACGTAAAAAATATTTTTAAAACGTAAAAAAATTATAAAAAATTTATAAAACATTTATAAAATAAAAAATTTAATTTTCTATTTTTTTAATTTTTTTAAATAAATAATAAAAAATAGAAAAACCCGTAAAAAATGAAAAAAATTATGGATACCTTTCCCACCGCCTCCCGCCGCCTCCCAGCACCACCATCTCCGATTGGTGAAATTTCTTCCACTTTTGGTAAAACAATGCCATATTTTTCTGAAAATGCCAAAAAGGTGGCATAATTACTCTTCAATATGCCAACATTTTCATTGAATATGCCATCATTATGGCATTATTTAAAATGTTGGCATATTTTTCTCCGGTGATGGGAGCTGGTGGTGCTAGGGGTGGCAGGGGTGGTAATGTTTTTTTTTTAATTTTATGATTTTATTTTTATTTTTTTTATTTTTTTTAAAAATATTTTTTTTTATTTTTTTTAAAAATATTTTTTTTAATTTTCTATTATTGTTTTTACGATTTTTAGTATTTTTTTCGATTTTTATTAATTTTTTTATGATTTTATTATTAATTAAAACATTTCACAAGTTACAAGGGTATATTTGTCCAAACACACATAAATAGTCCTATTAAGGGAATTTAAAAAATGTAGTCATATTTGTGCAATTTTGCCATTTTTTAGTCCTATTTAGGGAATTGACTCATAAATAAATGTGAATGTGTAAGCACTGGAGTTAAAAATTGCAAAAGAATAAGTAAATAGATATTTTAATTATGAATATCCTAACACTGGATTTTTCTTATTTGTGCTACTAGTGCATTTTTTCCATCATTTGCAATGGAGCCAAAGATTCATATTTTTTTGGCTTGAGAATATGATGGAATAAAGCAAAATGGCTCACTAAACTGTCTGCGCTTCTTTGTTATGAAGCAGCAGTCAGTCCATGCAATTTTGGACGCGATTTTCACTATGGGTCATCCGGAAACAGTCTCTTTGTGCTTTAGTACAGGGGTAAGACTGCGTACATCCGACCCCCCTTATCCCGCCGTAGGTGGGAGGCTTTGCGGCACTGGGGTAAATGAAAATGATGTGCTACTAGTGCATTTCCATTCATCAGTGTATTAGTGTATTTATGTATATAATCACTCTCACTTTCACATGGCAAAGTGAAAATTGAATAATTCAACCATATACTATAGACATAAAGCTGGTGGGTTGGTGGGTTGGTCTACATGTGTAATTTACTGGGAGCCTCAAACATGTCAAAAGGATGTTCTGACCTTGGGATTCTTGCACAAGTTTCAGATGCACATGCAATGGCATTCAGCTTTCCGCACCAAGCAATGGCACTAGGTAAAGATAAGAGAAGAAAGTCACCATCGAGTAATCAAGGTCGTGATACATCTCATTTTTATACAAGAAAATCAACGATACATCTCATTATTATACAAGGCAGACAAAGAAAAAGGAAGAAGAGAGACAATAAAAATAGAGGTGGTGGTGCCAGGTAAAAAGGTTTAGAGCTTTTTTGTCCAACTTGGTATCCTTTAAAAAGCAGCTACACTAGCGCTTCCTAAAAAAGAGGCAGGTTCCCTCTCATAATTACATTAATCCCAACCAGTTGGATTGCCAGAATGGAACTTATGGAGCAATTAACTTCTAGAATATAAATCATGCAAAAGAAAGCATAGTGAAAACATTTGTTCTCTTTTATCCTTATTATAAATATCATTATATACTCCCTCTCTCTCATTAAGTGCCGCTTTTGGAATTTAGTGCATATTTCGCACTAATCCCACATCAAAGGGTACTGTTTATGAATAAAATAAGATGCATTCAATGTTGACTTTTATAGAGATAGGAGAGTCATTTTGCAACGTCCTTAATATGTGTGAACTTTTCCAGAACTTTAATCAACTTGGGACAAGGTAAGTATATTTTGTTGTGCTTGAGAATGCTTTTACATTTAGAGTAGTCGCCCTTCAAATCGAGAACATAGTTTTAAAAGGCGTGACGCGCCATGGCCCATGAGGCGCTTTTGTTAAATATAGCCGAAGTGTGAGGCTGAGGCATGCACCTCATGGAACTTAGCCATTCTCCTTTCATAAACCATATATGTACTACTTCTACATGATACTCTCTACCCAACTATAACGCTAAGATCACAAAAATACCATAAGTCATTAAACAAGCATAATAAACACCAAAATCATTCACAACAACATCCAAGCTTTATTCCCAAAAGATTTTGGGGTCGGCTAACATGAATCAATCCATGATATTGGAGCCAAAAAGAAAAGCAAAAAACAAAAATAAAAAGATAAGGTAAGATAAAAAGGATAAGATAATGATAAAGATAAATATAAGATAAAAGAACATAAGAAAGATAAAAGATAAAAATACCAAAATCAGTCACAACAGAAACAAAAAATTATTCAAACACCGGCAAATGACATAGTACTAACTCGTGAGCAGAATTTACACACAAAAGCTATGTTATCTAATCGGCAAGTACTCACTACTCAGACACGCATATTGCCTAGTAGCTTACTCTTTCCATTCCAAAATCCCAAGTTACTTGTTGAGTACTCAGCGCTGACTCAGTGATTAGTTTTACACACCAAGTAACTTGGCCGTGCTAAAAATGACTATTTTTTCCTTTTTACAAAAGATTGAAGCTAAAGATTGTGATTTGGAAAAAGTAGGGACTTTAAGCTTTATTTTAATAAACAAAAAAAAGAACATTATGCTTTGTACTTCGGTGAGTTCTTTGTCTTCGTCAGTTCTTCAATTTCTTTCTTTTTCTTAGACTTCTTACTGAGTTTTTTCCTTATATGTTTACCTATATACGTAGTAATATAGTGAATTAGTAGTAACTGAAAAGTCTTACCAGGATTAAGAAAAATCTTTATATAATATTTATGATTTATACTAGTTGTCATGGATTATTGTTTTATGCTTTATATAGGGGGTGTTTGGAACTGATTCTACTTCTGGTTCTTTTTTAAAGTAGAAGCAGAATCGGAATCAGTTTTCAGAAGCTAGTACCCCCCAGCTTCTAAAAAAACTGATTCTGGGAGTAAGTTAAAGCACCAGAAGTGCTTCCGGAATTTCACCCAAACACTCCAGCTTCTGCTCCCTGAAGGAGCAGAATCAGTTTTGAGAATCAGATCCAAACACCCTCATATAAGACTCATGAGACTAGTATAGGATCGAGGAATCACCAAGCAATCCCGGGTAATAGCTCCAACTCACTACTCTGCCCTTGATTAAGTAGACACAGAGTGCCTATTTAACTACTTATGGGGTAATATAGTAATAACTCCATCCCACTAACATTGGGACATGAAGAGGTGGCGCAATTATTAAGAAAAGTGAGTTTGTGGGGTTGATATTGAATTGATAAAGTAAGAATAAAGTAAAAATGATTTAGAACCACACAAACTTTACCAAATTTGGTACCAGACTATCTTAGTGGGGTTTACCGAAAAGGAAAAATGGGACAATCTTAGCGGGACGGAGGGAGTAACATATTAAGAGAAGAAGCCCACGAATAAAGGAGAAAAAAGGTACGTGCTCGAGAAAGAGGGGAACCCTGATGTGCGAAATCTAGAGGGCAAGAGAAGGGAAAGACCATGACAGTTTTATTGATGAAAAAGAATAGATTGAGTCGAGAAGCAGAGGACACCTCATTTGAATATTACGTAGAATTCTAGAGAAACGGCAATTTAATAGCCGCGGGAGTCAAGACACTTGATCGACGCATGAACATCAATCATAGCAAACTCAATCACAGAGGTGGGCGAGGTGTGTGCCTCATGATGCGCGAATAGATGGGAGAAAGCGAGGAAGTTGTTGTTACATACCTAGCACATACTAGGCTCACAGCAATGCCATAAGCCCAGGTGTAGAACTCATTCCTAAAAGACCAGCTGATTAGGAGAAGGGAACACGTTGCTTATAAGCCACCGGCCAAGCCCATACTTGACCGGTGTGGGATCGGAACAATACCCCACGCTTCGAAGAGCCAACGTCCACGTTGATCACGGCTATGTTGGTCACGGTTGTCACCTAGCCCATACTAGCCCCATAGCAGTGCCATAAGCCCAGGTGTAGAACTCACTCCTAAAAGACAAGCCGATTAGGAGGAGGGAACACATTGCTTATAAGCCACCGGCCAAGCCCATACTTGACCGGTGCGGGATCGTAACAGCTGTACGCTATGCAGAATCTGCTGCACCCAACTTTCCTGGTGTGGTTCTTTATCTCCTCTGCGCTTTTGCGCCTTTTGCCTGATGGGCTCTTTTTTAGAATATGATCCAAAAGGTCAAGTAAGCATCCAAGTTCTTAAAACTTTTAAAAGGTACATCCTTCATAGTTGGGATAAACAATAATGTGGCTTCATTTAGTAAAATAAATATTTTCATTTTAAATAACAAAATTAAATGGCATCATTTTAGCCGTCCCCAAAATCTTTTAGGATTAAGGCTTGGATGTTGTTGTAATGGGTAGTAGGTAGTAACTCCCTAATACAAAAAGTTCATAAACTAGTTCAGATGACCCCTGCCAACATCAGAGCTAAATATCTAATCAGCTAACTTAATGCGAGCATTCCCTTTTGTATAGTTGAATACATGCTTCTTCCAAGTTTGATTTGGTCAAGTAGGTATTATGTGTATTTTCCTATTATCCAAGTCGATTCTAGTCTTTTATGTTCGTTTAAGTGTGGTAAAGTCTAATTTGATCTAGTCTGAGGCTGAAATTACTGCACAATACGAAAAGTAAGAAAGGGCAAGTTGGTGCAAAAAGCATCGCATTTAGCGAGGGTCCATATAGCGTCCCACCTTCAATGCACCAATACTTTATTGTGGTCCCGTATTGAGGTCATATCCTTAATTTTGTATATGTACTCAACCTATTTGTAAGAAAAAGAAAAAACTTAGTATCCACTATATTTGTAAGAAAAAAATCAATGGCTATATTTTAAGCTAACCTTCTAAAGCAATTATGTTCATTGCATTCAGTATTCACGTACTATTCATATCAACTACTCCGTAATATTTAATTAGAATTCATTGGCCCGCCACATACTAGTATTGAGGTTATACTCTATATCTTGCATAGTTACATCCGTTTTAATTCTCTGTTCAATTCTAAACTTCGAAATCTTGTTATGGTAATCAACTTTTGGTATTATAATTGTTTATTTGAAACAATAAATAACCAATACGCCAATTCCAAACTAACCCCTGTGTGTTTAGATTATTTAAAAATATAGCCCCATATTCATTTTCTATGTTTTTCAAACTTTCCGGATCCGCATAGCCATATATGTGTGTCAGCTTATCCGCCTCGTAGCAGTATCTTTATTTTATAGTAAAAGATAATCAGCCCAACATTCAAAGTTAAATTCAATTCTCTATTGATCTGCCTGTGCGAGCAAGTGTGTAGAAAACCAGTGGAATTCATAGTTTTGAACTTATATTAACACTTAATGCTTGGGTGCTTTATTTTGGTAATGAATGTACAAAACTGATCAGTTAAGCAGAAGCTTATATGATCTTTATGGGGAAAAAAAAAACTTGTGAAATAAAAGATCCAATGATAAAAAGACGCTGGTTATAGAGGCAAGTTATCACCAAATCAAATTCCAACAATCATATCCCACCACCCAAGGAAACACAGACTGTCACCTGAAATTACGGCAGAGCTCAGGCACACTCATCTTATGCTGCAAATTAGACCTGGGCTGCTGGAGGCGGATGCAAAAAACCGTGGCAGGAGCTGCCGGATCCTCCTCCATGGGATCATCCACCGCCGCTGCCGCCATATCCGTGTCACCCTCTTTGTCAGTCACCCCTGCGACTTCAGCAAACTCCTCCTTCTCGGGAGTCTTGGAAGCTTCGAGAACTGCGCTAGAGGCAGCAGAAGAGGAATCCACCTCAGAGTCCTTAGTAGCATCAGATGGCGCTTGTGGAGATATTGGATTGGCGGTCATTTGAAAAAGAAAACGAAAAGACCAAAAACCCTAATTTATACTCCGTATATAATTGGACATCGATAGAGAGAGAAAATGGCGGTGCGGAAAGTCGTGAGTTGAAGGCGACAGGAACGACTGTGAGTGCGTAAAGGCGGAGAGGTGGGGTTAGGGTTGGTGTGGACTGGAGACTGGAAAGCGGAATTTTTGGGCGTGACGACACAATGAGGAGATAGAGATAAGAGAGATTACAGGTTTACAACAGGAAAGTTGGGGATTTTCCTGGAGCTCGGGTTTTAGATTTTACGCGCGCGCTCTGTTTTTGGTGTAATTTTGAGGAGGGTACTGAGAGAGAGTTATGTCTTTTGAAGAGGAGACAACGGTGACAATTCTTCTTTTTTGGTTTTTCCACCAAGGAAAGTGAAGATTTTTTAATTTTTTTGTAACATTCGCCAAACCTATTATATAGTATTTGATCTTATTAATGTAAACATCTTTGATGGTGATGAGACTTGAACCTGCGACCTCCTCTTTGGGAGATCAGCAATGATCTCATCAGATCACAAGGTACTTGGCAAATTTTTTATTACATGACAAAAAAAATGAGATATTACCCAAAATAGGACTAAAAAGGTCTGCAAATTCCAAAATAGGACTGTCATGTTTTTATTCCCAAAATAGGACTAATTACTGTCATGTTTTGGTAGTATCAGACTTTAAACATTACAGTATTTTCCAAACTTGACAGTAATTACTCCTATTTCGGGAATAAAAAATATGGCAGTACTATTTTGGAATTTTCAAACTGTTTTAGTCCTATTTCGGGAACTTTCCCAAAAAAATTCATTGCATCATATTCCTTCCCTATTTTAATGTTTACTAGATTAGGTTGAATATATTATATTAGCACCCGTGCGATGCACGAAATAAATAAATGAATAAATGAATGAATGAATGAATGAATGAATGAATGAATGAATGAATGAATGAATGAATGAATGAATGAATGAATGAATGAATGAATGAATGAATGAATGAATGAATGAATGAATGAATGAATGAATGAATGAATGAATGAATGAATGAATGAATGAATGAATGAATGAATGAATGAATGAATGAATGAATGAATGAATGAATGAATGAATGAATGAATGAATGAATGAATGAATGAATGAATGAATGAATGAATGAATGAATGAATGAATGAATGAATGAATGAATGAATGAATGAATGAATGAATGAATGAATGAATGAATGAATGAATGAATGAATGAATGAATGAATGAATGAATGAATGAATGAATGAATGAATGAATGAATGAATGAATGAATGAATGAATGAATGAATGAATGAATGAATGAATGAATGAATGAATGAATGAATAAATAAATAAATAAATAAATAAATAAATAAATAAATAATTCTACTATATATTTAGAGTATTACTATATGAAAATCGTGGAATAAATATGCATGGATATATAAAAATTATATAAAAAGTAATGCTTATGAAAAAGGATATGTCACGCCTCGGACCGCATCCGTGCCACGTAGACAACCGCCGTACAACCCAATAAGAACAACGTAGTTCATTCTTATTAAATCATACAAGGCGTCTGATAGATTCTATTGCCAAACCGATTAGTAAATCCATACAATCAACATCAATATATAAATCAAACAGATGCGGAAATAAAATATGTTTGATAATTAGCCACACGTGGCAATCATGAGCACGCAGGCCCATCAATAGTTTAATAGAAAACATTGTTTAAATATCCATGAGCAATTACATAGTTTCAAATAAGAATGGAAGCACGAACCACGTCTTCCTTATTTGATGATCACCCTAGGTAAAGGTTCACGAATATGACTCTAGCCTTAACCTGAAAAATGTGAGACCCCCGAAGGGGTCAGTACTCCATAGAAAGTACTAGTGACAAGCAGGCTATATGAGAAAGAACTAATGTTTCAGACACGAGACCCAAAAATAGGGTGATACATATATGCATAGGTGTAACAATCGTTATCCCACCCACAAGATGATACATACCGTATATACTTGTAAAATACTTGACCCGTAGGTCATTTTCATTTAAAGAGTCTTTTAGAGATAAGGTACTTACCCGACCTTTCCCATCCATTCCTGAATGCCTAGCTCACAAGCTACATTCTACATTCACAATATCCTACCGAGTTTTGGGATCATTTACCGTCTCGAGGATACTCAACTCCAACCGAGTTTCAGGATCATTTATCATCCCGGGGATACTCAACCTCATCCGAGTTTCAGGATCATTTACCGTCCCGGGGATACTCAACCCCAACCGAGTTTCAGGATCATTTACCGTCCCGGGGATACTCAACCCCAACTGAGTTTCAAGATCATTTACCGTCCCGGGGATACTCAACCCCAACCTTATTTCTTACCAAACCCTAACCTGGATATGGCTAACCTTTCATTCCTTGAACTATGGACAATACCTAGCCCTATAGTCATATAATAATCCTTAATAATCAACGTGGACGGGTCCCACCCGAGCGACCCACGTTATATTCATTCAAAACTGACTGTTGGGTGTAAAACCCAGTACCCGGTCAAGTACCCACCTATACACGGTCGGGTATAAAAGGCAGTAGCCCCTGGGGTTATTTTTAGTTAATACCCGGTCGGGTATTTGCCAATACCCGATCGGGCACAACAGTTGACTTGGTGGTCAACGCCCGTTTGACCGCCCAAACGGAGTTCGATTACCGTGAAATTTTACATGCATGTAGTTCTTGATGTCCTTAATCCAAAAATACCTATTTGGGTCCTTGAAACATCATACATATCAATTTATAATACTTCCACTAAACAAACTTACATATCATGCTTTTCAACTATGTTATATTCTTTAATATGACATAACACAAAAGTTATAAAGCATATAACCGTCTTCTCACCTTAAATGAAGCTTATGAAGTTCTAGTCTTTCTTATTGAGCTCCGGCGAAACTCCGGCGGACTTCAACGAACTCCGGCGACAACTCCGGTGACCCTTTCAACTCCGTGAAAGTTCTTGAAATATCCTATACAAGTTAATAACAAGGTTTTATCATCATAAAACTCATATCAACACAAATAACCTCTAAAAGGTTATTTTCCGACGAACCCGTCAACTTTGCTCTCTAAGTCCGTTCTTGGACTTAGAACTTCCTTTCAAACCCCATTCCACACCTTTAAACGTGTAGAACTATCCTAGGAGTATGAAATATGATTAAAGAGAAGAAATGGGATTAATGAAGTCATTACCTTGTTAACCACAAGTCCCCCCCCCCCCCCGAAACTCCTCTTTTCTGTTCTCTTTTCTCCTCCTTCTTCCTTAGCTTGGTGCGAAAATGGGTGAAAAAGATGATGATTTGCAGAGCTTCTCTCACTTGGTTGATGCTTGATACGAATGGGATGAGTTGGTGGTTGATTGGGGATGTCTTTTTGGCATTTCTCACAATAATACATGGGAGAGGACCCATTTTATTGTATTAATTTGTCTCCCAATCAATTCATGATCATTTCCTATCTCCTTGTGCGGCTCTCCTCTTCCTTTGCAAGACTAAAACGTGGGGTGGCCCCCACATATGTGGGAGGTCATCCCTTTGTGACCCCAAATGTACACTTGGTCCCGAAAGTTGTATTTTCCGGACTGTTTCAACTATATTTCATTTTATCGGATCAAATGAAATATCTATCATTCTTCCAATTATTATCGGCTATTAGAATGAATGTATATTCCCCAACTTTCAAATTAATGGTCTCCATAATTTATTATGGCTTTTACCTGTTAGTACGTCGGTACCGATAAATGGGCCTTATATGCACAACTGGCCAACTCACATGGTTTCTATAGCCCAACATGGATTTCCACCATCATATAAATATTATATAGACCCAGATGAATATAATATGTGGTCCCGACAATATCGAGCGGCCCCCACTTCCGGTGTGGGCCCCACGTGAATTTTACTATTCACGTAAAAGAAATGATAAAAATTTACAATCACGTAAAATGCGTTTATTCATTTCTCAAGGTTCAATACATAATTTGATAAAGTACAAATACTTGGGGCGGTGTTACAGGATATCTTAAAATGGATTTATTTAACGCAGAGTGTAACATTTAGTAAAACATAAATTTCTAAAATATTTCAATCCGTGAAAAACCTATAAATTTTGAAATATTTCCACATAAATAACATTTCTAGTATAAGCGAATGATCTTTATCATTTCAAAGTTTTATGATTTGCAGCTTATGACAATGTAAGATCTAGTAGATATTGACTACGGCCTGACTTTTTATCGATATTATGAGCATGTTTAGTGACATTGTTTTTTGACTTATCGGGTTCATCTATAGGTATTCAATTACAAATAATTGATTGAATAAGCACATTGTTGGATAATCGATACACATATTGTATGAAAAGGAGATTGAACAAGAGTGGAGAAGGAATAAAGAAAGTGTATAGAATGAATTAATATTTGTCCTTGCTTACAAGCCTCCAATAAGGAGTATATATAGGGAAAATCCGGGTCTGGGCCTCTAATATGGACCAGACAGACCCGATTACATAAATAGACTGATAGTATAAAACGCTAATCTAGAACATCTTAATAACAATAATGTACAATAATATGAATCCGCTAAACGTGTGTGGGCCGCTGTCCAGGCCCAGTAGTCGGCATACCGGGGGGTCAGAGTCCATATACTCCATCAGGAGTCCCCCACTCCCTGAGTCGAGAGTACTCGAGGCGAAAGGGAGTAGTCAAAATTGTATCTGCAACGTTCTTCTGTCTTCGGTTTCTTCCTCTTCGGCCGGGAGACCACCACCCTTGTCAATGATGGGGAGGTGCCTCGTTAAAAACCTTTACTAGGAAAAAACACAGTGGGAAAAAATTCTAATAAAGGGAAAAAAGAGTACACCTAACGCCCCCAACATGAAACAAGGAAGGTAGGCCCCCTCCGGTATAATAACATTTGTCTAGCTCAACCCATCTTCATTTGACTCATCTCTCGTTCTTGCTCATGCGTGATACTTTCTCCTCATCTAGAAACTCTGACCCCTCAGTCCCCCAGTCCCCACTCTGTGAGGCGAGTGGAGACGAAGTGAAAATGAGCTAGTAAGGTCATCTCTGTACCTACACATTTAACATACATATAAATTTTTTTCTTGGGATTTATGTTTCCGATCGGGAGTTCGTCATTTGAAACAAGTGGAGATGTGAATTGTTAATGTAATGATAAAATACTTAGTAGAATGGATGTGTGAGTCATTCATAAGCAACGGTCGCCACTCGAGGAATGGCTAAGACCGGTCTTCGTGCTCGAGAGTCAGGGCTTTGTGCCTGAGAGTCAGGGCTTTAAATCCTAGTGATGGGTCTCAAGCCACACTCTACTAGGCATTTGATCATAAGTGCGTGATAGTGTGACATTAACCCGACAAAAAATATTGATTAAAATAAATACAAATAATATTAAAATTAAAGATACTTATCTTTTTGAAGTGGGCTGAACTGGAAATGTTGTTAAAA